CCTGTGTTCAATACCCAGTTCCTTCCTCCCCACAGAAGAAATAAAACTCCGTTGAAATTTTGGTAGCCAAATACTGTATGTGAAGTCAGAATTAATTATTAAAATTGAAAGATGTTCCCATAGGTGCCTTTCATTTATTATATGTATTTTAGGTGATTGACATATTTAATCATACTCAAAAAAGGTGTTTTGCTACTACAGACCTAACTAGGCCTTATTAGCCTGTAGGTTTTATATAATTGATTGGGGCAGGAAAGATTTCTGAGGAGAATGGAATGCTGGAGGGCCGTGGGTGTTCATGACATCATTAATTGCACAAGGACAGACCGCCTTTCAATGAAGGAAAAGCCAAGGAATTTTACATGATTTTAATGAATGTCTGTATTCTGTTTCAAATTAGCTATGTTCAGTAACTGCTTTTTTTTTTTTGCATATTTTAAGAGCAAAAATTTACTCTTCATTTTGTGATGAATATGCCATGCCAGAATCAGTTTTTAAATTATGCAAGAAATGTATAAAAGTTAATTATAACTAAAATTAGAAATGAAAATGAATTTCAATACAGACACCGCTGGTCCTTACGTGTATAAAATGTGTAAAACAAGTAATTGAAGCTGCGGGGCCTGACAACATGACTGCTTTTAGATGTTAACTTCAGCTCCATTCAGACAGCAATAGTGGCAGAATTAGAAACAGAGCCAGAGAAAATGAAGTTTCCTCTCCCTCTTAGGTAACAGGGTTTGAAATGTGCCTCAGGGTACCTGCACTGGTGTGTCGGACTCTGCGGGCAGGAGGAAGTTCAGAACCCCTCAGGCCTGATTTCTCCTCTGTAAAAGGACTGGATCAGATTACATCCTGTCCTATATGCTTTGAACTTCTGCTTTCCACTGACTTGATTTTATTCTTACTTTGGGAGGAGGGTGTATGTGTGATGTGTGTGTTTGTTCATTTAATTTCTTAGACCAAATTAATTTGGTTTTAATACTAGTTTTGTCTGTTACTAATTAAGTGACCATGGGCAAGTTACTTGTTGGCATCTGTGGCCTCATGCCTCAAATGGGGACCTTCCGTCTCCATAGGAGTTTCGTAAGGCAAATATCAGAAGGTTGAAAGCACAGAAATGGGTTCAAAGCAACCCTCCAAACAGTGTCAGCTGTTGCTTTTGAGTTATTCATTCTCTTGTTCATAGTTGTGTGTACATGGCTGTGTGTGTGTGTACTGGCAGTGAACCCAGGGCCTTGCTGCTGGGACAGTGCTCTCCCCCCCTGAACTACATCCCAGTTTTAAAAAAAAAAAACAAAAAACTTATTTTGAAACAAGGTCTCACTGAGTTGTGATCCTCTTGCCTCAGCCTCCCGAGTAGCTGGGATTACAGGTGTGTCCAGCTATGTATTTAATTTTATATTTTTCTTAGGAGTAAAGCTATTGCAGCTTGATTTTTCTGAGAGCTTTTTGATTTAGCATTTGATGATAGTAGTGGCTGTTTAAACTTTATTATGAAAATGCGCATAGGAAGAAAATGTTCCTTGGAGAATGTGGGCAGAATGCACCATTTCTTCTGTATCTAAGAAATGATGCTGTTTGATTGATGTGCATTAGAGAAGGGATTAACTGGGAACTGTCCATGTTTGAAAATAATGTTGGTGGAAGTAAGTAAACGGTGAAGAAAATATGTCTTAAATTATTAATTCTTAATGGAGAAAAGTTCTACATAAAATAGTGCTATGGAATGCCAGGCAGGCCTGAAATTATAGGATCAGTTATCGAATCCTATCAGTAGCTACTGGAAGACTCAGGAGCCTCTAAAAATGTGCAAAATTGCTACGATATTCCAAGGTAGATCAGCGTGCTAAACCAGTTATTTCAGACTCCAGTGTCTACCAGATGTGACAAGAAAGCCCCGAGTGAGTGAGGTGAGACACAGAAGGTACAGTGACTGGCAACTGAGGAGGGGAGTGCTCGTTCTGATGGGTTCAGCTGCCACTCAGTTCCATCCAGCTGCCGTGTGGGAATTCAACCATCCTGTTGCCAGAACATTCAATTTTCAAGATGTAGAAATTCAGAGTTCTGTCTGGAAATAACTGTCTTCTGAACATTGTGCAGACCAAATAAAAGCACACCTCCTAAGCCGATCAGCCCACAGGTCACAAATTTCCACCCCTGCTTTCCATCTTCCTTCTATCTGTAAGAAACAAGCTTCTGCCTAAAGTGGCAGCTCACCTTTCACCTCAAAACAAAACAAATCTGAAAAATCTTTTGGATTAGAGAAAGTGGACACAGCTTTAGCTGGTGAGCTACGTGTTAGTCTGTTCAGAGAATATTTACTGAATACCTTCTACGTGTTGGAGATAAGTAGAGGGAGCAGGCCTCAGGGACAGCTACGCAGCTGCCTGCAGGACAAATGAGGTCATTTTTGTTTCGTTTTCCAGCAAAATTTGCCTTATGTGATATAATATCTGAGCCATCCCTGCACTGTTCCTTCTCAGGTGAGCCCTTTGGCAAAACAGTTCTGAATTCTAAGAGTTTCGCTGAATAGGTCACATTTCCTCATGGTACTCTGGCCCTGCCATTACATTTTATAGTTGACTCAGGGGCAGAGACAGTTGATGTGATACCCCAAGGCTGCATCTCACACACACACCCCAATTTCCAGGGACAACATATATTTCAATTAAAATAATGTGTCCCATTGCTTCCTAATCACATTCAATTCATGCCCTAATATGTGGTTTGCAGTCACTGTAGACCAGGTGACCAAGAAAGTGGAAGACTCAGTGACTTTCCAAGGACCAAGAATACAATGGAGGCTTTTTAGGGTGACCAACTCCACCGGTTTGCCCAGGACTTTTGGTGCCTACTCCAGGAAAGTCCTAGGCAAACTCGACAAAGTTGGCCACCCTGGATCCCATTTCCTCTTCTACTTGGACACAGTTATAGCTCCCACCCACCATGGGGTGAAGTGTAACCATGGTTTAGTGAGTACTGAAGTGACCCATCCCGAGTTGGCCCATATGAAAACCACACTCGGTGATCTGCTGTGCCTCTTCTCCTTCCCCAAGACCCTGGAACCAGGCAGATGAGGATGAAGTGACCTCAGAAGTAACAGAGCCCTTGTCAGCTGAGTCCCAGAATGACTGGAGTAGGGTGCCCTTCCCCACTATCCTGGAATCAGGCAACTCTGTTCCATGAGCAAGGGTGCTCCCACCATTAGGCATTTTAGAATCATCTGCTTCAGTGATTCTAAATGCCCTGAAGGTGGGTGCTACTGTCAAAAAACTTAAGCCACTGTGACACTGACAATGGTTGGGTGGTGGGCGGTGATGAAACTATTGGAAGCCAAAGACATTGAGATCCGTACTGTGAAGTGGAAAAAGCATTTTATAAAAACTCTCATCTGTGAGAACTTAGAAGGCTAACCCCACCATGTACCTTGTCACTGTGTAGCTCTGACAGGCCAGGGCGAGGGACCTATTGCTCCTCCCTGTTTGCCAAGAAACTCACTATTTACCCCTTCTATGTTTTTCAAGAAAAAGATGAACTCAGAAAGGAATTAGTTTGTAAGTAGAAAGGGAATAAAAGATGTGGGAATTTGGGACTGTGCAGTATTGGAAAAGCTTACTGCTTCAAACCCCAAAGAGTTGGAAGTAAGACTAAAAATCAGTAAATGTTCATTAAGTCTTTCTGATTAAGCAAAGTGCTCCATCCCTTCAGCAAAGATTGGACAATTCATGCCATCAGGTGACCTTTAAGTGATCATCGTTCAGCTGATGTGGTAGGGGAGAGAGACTAACAAAAAGATAAAATAGGCATGGGAAGGGAAATATTTTACATCCTAGTACTGACACAGTGAATTGACTGTAAACAAATAAGGGAGAAGCCTAGTAAGTGTTCAAGGAACTTTTACGACCAACGAAAACACAAGCCAATGGAGCCTTAAATAATAAAACAAAACCTTGTTGGAATTTTCAGATGACACTTAGGCTTCCACAGTTGCAGGAGCTGGAAGTGGGTGAAGCACTAAAGCTGTCCAACCCCAAAAGAGAGAGTTCTCCCCAACACCGTTTTTATATGTGGCCATGGGGAGATACTGAACAAGAAGAGCTTCTCTCACAGAGCTGGGAGCCTGGAACTTTGGAGAACAATGTGCCAGGGATTTCTTAGCAGAGAGAATAATCAGGATGAAATCAGAGAAATCCTCCACTGCCAAGCTAAAGGAGCCTTCTCAGTGCTTGCCTGGCAAGACGTCATAGCTGCCACGGCCTGGGGCCTACTGCATGTCTCTCACACTTCCCAAGGAGTTTCACTGCAATTACTGTGCCCACCACTGTGCATTGTCAGTGGAAAGGAAGATAATTCGTCTCGGTTCATAGATCTCCAAACCTTGGGGAGCCCATCCATACCTGTGCCTCATGTATAGAATTGGACCTGGTGTAGAAGTTGGATGGGGCTTCGGATTGTTGCCTGAGACAGGGAGTTTGTTCTGTCAAGACAATAAGATGAAATATTTATTAATTTTAGTATATTTTTTGTGGTGCTGAGGCTGGAACCCAGTGCCTAGCCCATGCTAGGCAAGCGCTATACCATTGAGCTACAAGCTCAGCCCCTGAAATATTTATTTTGATCCACTGGCAGAGACTGGCCGGCATTTACCAAAAATTATTCTCCTCTTCCTGGGCACACAGACTGCATTTCCCAGATTCCCTTGCAGCTGGGTGAGCCCACATGATTAAATTCTAGCCAATGGAAGATGGGCAGAAATCCTGCCCTCTCATTTCCAGGCCTGGTTCATAAAAACTTCCCATGGGCAATCCTCCATTCTCTTTCCCCTCCAGTCAGCTGGGTGGAGACAACTGCAACCACTTTGAAAATCACATGTTGGAAGATGTCACAGCTTTATCAGCCTGGGTCCCTGAATGACTGACTGGAACAGAGCCCCTCCCCCATTTCCCCAACCTGCATGTACTCTGGACTGATATACAAGAGCCAGAAGCAAATTCATATTATGTTTTAGGCATGCATTTTTGAGTCTTGTCATCTTTACTGGTACATAAACATGGGGAATACGTGAAACAATACAACAACAGATTAACATAAATTGAGCATATCAGAGCCAGGGTGCAGTAAATAGATGAATAGCTACATGAAAAGGGTAAATCTTGACGGTGACTTTGAAGAAACTATAAAACCATTCATGGGAAGAATAGTTCGGGGCATAGTTGTTGAAAACAACTATGTGGTCCGAATTATTTTCCTAAGTGTTTAGAAAAAAACTCTTCCATATAGTGAGACTTGAAAGAATTCCCCACGCAAAGACACTTCGCCGGGAGAATTCCAATTTTATTGCAAAAGGCTGTGTGCTTATATAGAACTAAGGGGAGATGGCAGGGCTTAGATAAATGGCAGGCCACCCGTTTATTGGCAAGTTCTTCCAGATATCAGCTCCGGAGCCCAGGAATTAGTTCTTATTGGGGCTAAGGTTCCCCGCCATCGAGATTTGAAATCGGCGCTGATGGGAGAGTTCCCACGGACGGGAACTTTTCGCGCCACTGCAGAAAAGAGGAAGGTAGGAAGAAGAGGTCCTTAGGCGCCATGTTGGGGTTTTTCTCTGGGGTGCGGCTGCCGTTTATACTTTTCCCAACAAGACTAAGCCTGCTTGAGTTGTAAAATGTAGCTCACTTTGAGACATGCCACTGGCAAAGTTTCAGGTGAGATCAGAGGCACAGTCTGGTACTCCTCAAGCCACGCCAGGCCCACTGGTCAGAGACATGTTTTCTCAAAGAGTGACTTAGTGCTGTCCCTTCTGAAACTGGAGTACTGTTCCAAGTCCTAGCATCCCAGAGTCTGTATCCCCTCCAGTCAGCAGCTGCTGAGTCATGACTGCTGCTCACTCACCGTGACCAGGCTTGGCAATCCAGCTGCGGCAACCCCACCACACCTGCAACGGCTCCACACTGACAGTTGCCAGCACGCGCCTCTCATCCAGTTCCATACCTGGCCCAGGTAGCCATTGAGCTTGTTTTCCAAAAACCAGCTAATTTCATGTCTCCACACTCACCAAAGGGAGTGAACATGGAGACACCATTCTGGGCTGGCACGTGAATCCCATCCCTTCCAGCAAACAGCAATAGGCAGGATCCTGCCCCAAGCTCCCGCCAGGCTAGCGAGTCACTTGGCCAGAGAATTCTGTGTCCTTGAAGAAACTAAAAAGGGAAGAGTGGGTTCAAATTGAGTCAGAATATCCACAGATGAAGATCCTGCATGAGGGTAGATTGTACGTCTTCTCTCTGTCCAGCAGGGTACCAGACAAAGCCACAGCACAGACGACACAATTACATTCCCTATTCCCACATCACAGCCACTTGACCCAGAAAACCCAGTTAAATGTTTCTATAGACAATACTACTGTTTATTCATTTGTGACACTGGCCACACTTATCAAGCACCCACAATGTGCCAAGCTTAGGGAATCACTTGGGTGTTACGGGTGAAAACTGAAAGCAGTTTACTTCTGCTTTTGAGGTGCCCTGTCTAGCGGCCAAGGCAGATATATTACAAATAACTATAATACATGAGGGACACGGTACAGCGAAATATTTGGGGAACAGAGGAAGGAGGAATGAGTATCTGAGAAGTCGGTGACAGAGGGAAGGAAGAGACACAGCTTTACAGGGGAATTTCTGGTCTCAGCTTGTGCTTATTTGGGGAGAGTGTTATGGTTTGGATATGAGGTGTCCCCCAAAAGCTCATGTGTGAGACAATGCAAGAAGATTCAGAGGAGAAATAATGGGTTATGAGAACCTTAACCCCAACAGTGAATTAATCCCCTGATGGGATTAACTGAGTGGTGACTGAAGGCAGGTAGGGTGTGGCTGGAGGAGGTGGGTCATTGGGGACATGACTTTGGGGTATACGTTTTGTATTTGGTGAGTGGTCTCTCTCTCTCTCTCTCTCTCTCTCTCTCTCTCTCTGATCATCATGTGAGCTGCTTCCCTCTGCCACTCTTTTCTGCCATGATGTATGATGTTCTGCCTCACCCAAGAAATGGAGCCAGACTTCTGTGGATTGAGACCTCTGAAACCCTGAGCTCCAAATAAACTTTTCCTGCTCTAAAATTGTTCTGGTCAGGTCACAGCTGTGAAAAAATATGAGTGAAACAGAGAGGTATTACGGTTCCACATGCTGTCACTGCCAGTGTTCCTTCTCCCTCCTGCCTTTAGGAAACCCGTGTGGTAACAGAAATGGCCCTGATTAACACGCACTTGGCCACGGTGACCCAGCCTAGTCAAGTCAGGGTGAACTTCAGTCATGTTACTCAGGATCTGACCCCAGTCTCTTTCTGTCCCCTCCTCTGTTGGGATTGCCAGTTGGAACATGAAAGTGAAAGTGAGCAGTCATGAGCAGAAAGCTGGGAGACGTTGCAGGAACCGCACTGAAAGCAATTTTTGTGGGCTGAGCTATGGAACCGTGTGACATCATTTGATCCCTACGGTCTTCTGAGATCTAAGTCCTGGACGTGGCTCTTGTCTCTGAGCTGGTTTAACTTGGTAGATTTGCTGTGACTCGCAAACTAGAGGATTCCCAATGAATAGAGAGATCCTTTCTCTGTTCTCAGAATGTCCCTGCAACATATGACTGTACATGGCGGGGAAGCCCCAGGATAGATGCATGGCTCAGGACAAGTACAGCCCAGCAGGAGAGGCCAAGGATGGAACCCTGGCAAAGCTGGCCGGAGCAGTGAACCAGCCAAGGACAGTCATGGCCTGGAGAGGCCAGCCCCAGGAGCCACAGATGTCCAGGAGAAGCGGGCAGGTAGCGTGGTGACGCGCTTGAGGAGCATGTGTGCCGAGGTCATGGAGCAGAAAATGTGATGAGCTCAGATGAGTTGGAGCAGAAACCTAAGGGGCTGAACAGTGAATGGGCGGGGAGAGTTAGGAGAATTCAACATTCTAAAGAAGCCAGCTATAAGAGAAAAAGAGAACAACTGGACAGGGGGTGGGGGCAGGGTTAAAGATAGGAGACACTGCACATGTTTATCGATCATAGAGATAAAAACTGGCAGTCCCCAAGGAAGCAAGAAGAACCCAGAGCCACAGCACAGGTGGAGGAACTGGCAGCTTCTCAGAGCAAAGGCAAGGAAGCGAAGGCGGGGCCCACACACATGGGCTTGCGGATGCTGGGAAACTGGACGTTCCTCCTCCTCCTCATAAGCTTGGCCTCTGTGAATAGGGAAGTGGGGACCTGCCCAGGAAGTTCAGATGGCAAAGTCTGGGAGGGAGTCTGAGAAAATCAGAAAAGAGAATCACACACAAGATCTGAAGAAGGAAGTATTTGAACTCAAGGACTTTTGATTCCAATAGCAAATCCAGACCTCCCAGTAGCCTTGCAGTATCTGTAGATGCCTCTGCCTCCTCCTCCCAAAAAGCAGGGGGCTGGGAGAACAGGTCTGACCTCTGGGCTGTCCTGAAGATAATCAGTGACTCGAATGGGAGAAAATGGAGGCCTGGATTTCAGCAGTGGTCTAGAGAAGGAGGTGGGATGGGATTTAGAGACGTGAAAGTTGTGGGATTGAGAGGGCCAAGTCACCAGCTAGATACAGGAGTCGGTGCTGGGTGGCTAAGTGGGACGAAGAGTGTGACTCAGGAGACTTCTGTCCCAGCAAATAGGGACACCTTCCGAGTCTCACAAGAGAATCACATCACTAGGAACAAGAGAAGGCCACTAAGCAGACTCTAGTTCCATCTCTTCCTACAGAGAGGGAAGCCTGAATCCCGGGGGATGAAGTCACTAATTCATGATCAAAGTCAGTGTCCATGCCAGCCCTGGACCCAGAACTGATTAAAAGAGAAAGGAAAGAGCTGGGGAGAAGAAAGGAAAGGTATCCAGTCACCCCTTCCTTCGCTCATTCCTCCACTTCTTCATTCAGCCAACAATACTTCAAAGCGCTGATGCCACAAATATGAATATGGCTCAGAACCTGATTTTTTTTTTTTGTACCAGGGATTGAACCCAGGTGTGCTTGGTCAGTGAGCCACATCCCCAGAACTCGAGATCCTCCTGCCTCAGCCTCCCGAACCACTGGGATTATAGGCATGTGCCACCACGCCCAGCCAGTACCTGCCTTTAAAGAACTTCTGGCCAGTGAAGAAAGATAGCTGTTGGAATCAAGTGTACCATGGGGCATGAAGAAAGTAAGGGGTATTTCTCTCGGTGAGACGCTGTCTCTAAATAAAATACAAAATAAGGCTGGGGATGTGGCTCAGTGACCACGTGCACCTGAGTTCAATCCCAGATATCCTACAAAAAAGAAAGGAAGGAAAGAAGAAAGAGGTATTTCTGCCTGAAGTGTGGGAAGCCTCTTGAACCAGGCATGAAAAGATGAGCAGAACTAAGCAGCAGAGGACATGTCAGCACAGGGAACAGGGACGCCAGGCCTGGACAGGTGGGCCAGGAGGGGCTGTGAGTAGCAGCTCGGGAAGCAAAGCCCTGGATCAGCGGCCCTGGCCTGGGGCTGCAGGGTGGAAAACATGGGAGAAAGCTCCAGAAAGAGGTCTTGGTGGAGCGAGCACGTATTACAGTCTCTGCCAACAGAAAGGGAATCCAGTTGCCTAAGTCACTCAGCTCAGAAGCGGAGGAAGAGCTCCAGGACCCACTGGGCCACAGGATGGGCAAGATCCCCCCCACAACCCAGCATGAGAGCTCAGGATCCCAGCGGCAGCCAGACTCCCGTAAATAACGCAAATCAAAAGTGACAGCGCTGGGGCTGGGGATGTGGCTCAAGCGGTAGCGCTTGCCTGGCATGCGTGCGGCCCGGGTTCGATCCTCAGCACCACATACAAAGATGCTGTGTCTGCCGAAAACTAAAAAATAAATATTAAAAAATTCTCTCTCTCTCTTTAAGAAAAAAAGTGACAGTGCTAAAATCTATGAGGGAGGGTGGGGGACTGGGATTAGCTCCAGCTGGGAAGAGGCATCCAAGATAGGATGAGGAGGATTTTGCCAGAGCAGATTGGGAGTCACAGAGTGACGAGAGCTCTATGGGGAAAAGCAGTAATTATTCTGATGGAATTTCATACTTCAGCGAGGGAGCAGATCTGGATTCAAAGCAATGAGTAGCTGAATTTGCAATTGCTCTGGTTTCTTGGAGCCGTGGCTCCTCTGTTCCACTCAACCCTCTTTTGTCACTTGGCAGAGTCAGTGATTGTCTTATGAGGCTGCCTTGGTGTGTCATTTTTTTTGTTTGTTAAATAACTATCGAATGAATGATTGAATACACAGAAACGGAGATGAGAAAATATTCAAAATAATCTCTATCCTAAAACCTTTAGGGAAACCTTTTTAACCCTGGGATTAGAAAACAGAACTTTTGTGTCTAGTGTGGTGGCACATACTTGTAATCCCAGTGACTCAGGAGGTTGATTCAGGAGGATCACAAGTTTGGGGCCAGCCTCTGTGACTGAGGGAGGCCCTAAGCAATTTAGTGACACCCTGTCTCAAAATAAAAAGTAAAAGATTGGAGATATAGCTCAGTGGTAGAGCAGTACCCCCAAGTTTAATCCTCAGTACCAAAACCAAAACCCAGAAGGTTTGGCTCATCTGCAAAGCCCCAAATAATTTAGCTTTCTTTTCCAAGGTTTTAATCTTTTGTATGTGTGTTTGTGAGTATGTGCACGTGCACGTGCACGCACCTTGGACTCCTTTGGCAGCTGGTAAAGTCTGAAGAACCCCTCTCAGAAGAAAGTTTTAAATGTATATGGGATCACAAAGAAAATGTTTATGCTAAAATACAATTATCAGAATATTTTTAAAAATTATCTATGGTCATAGGTATGCTCATGTATTACCACACTAATAACAAGATTTGTTAGCAAGCCTCAATGATCACTGTAATTTCAAACCAGCGATGAGCTTAAGGACTTTTTAAAATACCAGCCACAATCATAACAGATCTGAAAGTAGCTATGATTTTTACCAATAATAAAGTCACAGAAACTGATGACATTGCAAAGGTTTGTTGCCTGCCATTGTTACTGAAGGAGATGCCAAGTGACGATTAGAGATCAGTGAGTTCAAAGTGTGGATTCTCGATGTAGCCACTGAACCCGGCCATGAACTTCTGCACGGTCATTCCTCAGCATCCTCCCCTGATCTGATTGCAAAGGCCATGGTCACCAGGGAAGTGACACACCTGAGACTGGTCCCTGCTGAGCCTGCAGCAGAATCATCCCAGGCAGATCAGTAGAGGAAGTCAAGTTGCTGGAGCTCAGGATCATTCTGGCCCATCAGATACGGAAGGAAATGGTGGAGACACTGGTCTGCTTTGCCTGAGACCATATGGGATTTGCCTCCAGAAAAACCACTGGGCTCAGACGCTCTGACAGGTTGGGTAGGCTCCTGACTTGGTTGATGAGAAGCAGGCCTCTCTCCCATTGTCAAGAACTCAAGGAAACTCCGAGAGTAAATACCTTGAGCTACCAGCAGTCAGCTGAAGGATTTTTTTTTTTCTTTTTCTTTTTTGGTACCAGGGATTGAACTCAGGGGCACTTGACCACTGAGCCACATCCCCAGCCCTTTTTGTGTTTTATTTAGACACAGGATCTCCCGTTCCTCCCGTCTCAGCCTTCCCTGCTGTGATTACAGGCTGCACCACTATGCCCAGCAGCTGAAGGATTTTGTTCATCCTTTTGTCCTCTGGGTTGTGTATCAATTTGGAAATGAGGCAAAGGAACAACAAAACAGAGAATTGGTGAGAAATGTTTGGAAACACGTGGCATTTCTGCACTGGGCTCAACATTTCTGCAGGGCAGTTTGGCAACGTGGACCCAAAGCCTTCAATCTGCACTTATGTTTCCATGTAGTAACCCTGCTGCCGAAGGTTTTTCTTCAGAAAATAATTTTGTTTATCAAAACAATATGTGCACAAAATATTAATTGGCGTTTTAAACAAAATGAAAAACAACTCAAAATAATCAATAAACAAATCACCCACAATATATTGCAAAAAGAGCAAAACCAAAGGTTACCAGGGTCCAGAAGTCTATTATAGTACTAGAGCGAACTGGAAAGCTGAAACATATATTCAGAAACAAAGCCCACCGCACCTGCACAAATGGCAACAGTGCTCCCCTCCACGGGAGGCTGTCGTTGGGAATTGTTTTCTAAGTTCTCTAAAGTTCTTTCAGGGAACATGTATAATTTAGCAACATAGATTATTTTCAAGAACATAAATGGTAAACTTGTGTCTGAAAGAGGGACAGCTGCATTTGTTTCAAAATAAAAAAATCATTTCTCCATGATATTCCAGCTCAATTCACACATCTATTTCTTAACAGTGTGAATTCGAGGAGGACAATTTAGAAAACAAAAAGAAGAAAGAAAGAGGAGGGGGGAGGAAGGAAGGAGGGAAGGGAAGAAGGAAGGCAGGGAGGGGAAAGAAGGAATATGAAAGGGCATCAAGGGAAGGTCTGGAGGGGAAATAACCTTGGGGCCCTCCCCAAGGTAACAGCAGGAAGCCTGGTATTCAAGCAGGGTCTACACCCAGCCCCACACTCCCAGTGAATTATGGGAGCTCATCCCAGGCTGCCATTATTCCTGGGTGGCTGGCAGGGGAGTGGCGGGTGTCTCCTGGGCTTATGGACAGCTGACTGCAGGCCCCTTCCCCACACTAGAGCGCTCACCTCCACCTTCAAACCTGGAAGAAGCAGGGGTGACGGGTCTTCTAAGTGGTGGTCAGCAGGGTCCAGAGAAATCCAGACAAGGAACTCAGGCTCGAGTTGCTAAGAATGTGGCCTTCTGGAATCTGCCAACGTAGCATGTCTGGAATTCCTGATGCTTTGCTTTGGCCTTACAAACCTTTTCTTTCAGAGACTGATTGAATCTCAAGTGTAAATATTTATAGTACCTTCATGCTTTCACTCCACAAATATTTTTTAATATTGCTCTCTCATGAGAGAGAGCAAACTGTTTGTGGCTCCCTCTAGGACTGTTGGGGCCCTCCTGCCTCACTCTGAACAGGCAGATTTCAATTATTTTTCCCAATTTGGCTAAAGGAGCCCCTTTAGATGAGATGGATGGGCAGGTTGGGGGAGGAACCCATGTCCTGGGCTCAGTGGAGGCTGCCATGGGGTGGGGCTGGGAGGCAGAGGGTGGAGTTGGTCCAGGAGGGGTTGCCATGGGCACAGCAAAGAACTCACACAGGGGTGACTGCAGATGGTTAGGCAGGGCTGAAGCCCCCCAGGAGTGAGCCCGTTTGATGTGTACTGAGCTAACCTTGATTGGCAAGTTTTTATGCATATATTAGGATTCTCCAGGTAAACACACCCAGGAGGAGAAACATAGATCTCTAAGAGGGGATTTATCATGGGAATTGACTTAAACAATCATGGAGGCCCAGAGGTACAAGCTGGAGATCCAGGAAAGCTGGTGGTGTGATTCAGGGCAAGTCCAAAAGAGCTCTGATGTCTCGAGGTGGGAGAAAATGGATACCCCCTAAAGAGAAGGGAGAGAATTCTTTCTTCCTCTGCTTTTTTGTTCTACTCCAGCTGTCAGAGGATTGGATGATGTCTGCCAGCCCGTGGGAGGACTATCAGCTTTTCTCAGTTCCCCAGTTCAAATGCTAACCTCTTGCAGAAGGACCCCCGCAGGCACACCCAGAAATAAAGTTTTTTTTTTTTTTCTTAGTTGTAGTTGGACATGATGCCTTTATTAATTTATTTATTTTTATGTGGTGCTGAGGATCGAACCTAGTGCCTTACACACACTAGGCAGGTGCTCTACCAATGAGCCACAATCCCAGCCCCCAGAAATACAGTTTTACCAGCTATCTGGGCATCTCTTGGCCTAGTCAAGTGGACACATCACATCAAGGATCACAATGCCACTTGTTCCTCCCTTCACTCCACCTGTCCACCTGTAACTAGTGAGTTCTTTATCTGTTCTATATACTATGTAGCTCCGAATGTCAGAAAATAGCTGCTGCTGACTAGGAGGAAACATAAAAGTAAACAACTATAATCTAGGAAAAATGCTTGGGGAATGTGAATTTAAGGGACAGTGTGGGAGCCAAGAAGGAAATGACCAGCTCTGTGGGAGGAGTGAGGTGGGGAGGGGGTTCTAAGCAGAAGGAAGAGAGTTGTCAGAGCAGAGCCTCGGGAAACAGGACAGCCTGATCTGGGAACTGGGTCTTGCAGCCAATACCAAATCTGCTTACCCTAGAACATGCTAGCAAGGTGAGCCACCAAGAGAGGTGAGCAGGCTGATGGCAAGCGATCAGACTCACCTGGAGAAATCTTGTGGTGATATGTGTGGGCCAAGTGGGTTAGGGACCTCAGGCCGGGCCATGCCAAGAGCACTGGGAAAACTGTGGCCATTTAGGAATAAAACGTAGGATGTGATGGGTGAGGAGAGGAGGGGAGGACCAGCCACGACTGATGCTGTGCCAGGCAACCTCCATGTTTGGGGACAAGGCGCTGAGTTCAGTTTTGAGTTGGTTATGGGAAAGCCTGGGGGTGGGGGCAGGAGGGACTTAGTCATTGGGATGTGGAGTTGGGGAGGGAGAACTCTGAACCAGAGCTGGGCTTTACAGACCATATTGTCCTAGTAAAGGGGCCTAATGCAGAGCCAGGGAACTTGGGCCAGCCCAGCGCTACTAGTTGTGACCTTGGGGAATTTATATGATCTCCCTGTGCTTGAGATTCCTCCTCTGCAGGTGGCCGTTGGTTTGGGGCTCCGGGAGTGCTCAATGCATGTTAGCTATTGCTATGGCTATTTGGGTCCCTTCATGGTTGGGGTCTCATGATGCATGAGACGCCCAGGGAGAGTGCTGCAGGTGGACAGGGAAAAGCCTGAGGACTGCTGGATCCACCGGCAGGTAGGACCGCTGTCACGCTCTATTCCTGGGGCCAAATGGTGGTTATGTGTTAAAGCCTCACCAGGTCTGTATCCAAATGTATCAATCAGTTTTGTTTTATGAGAAAACCAAATTAAAATTTACTATTCGGGTCTGTCAATTAACAAAGTGACCCAGTGAACACCTTACAGGACATTTTGAAGGTATATGAGAAATGTTGGTCCACTGTGGAGTCCAGACCTTGCTGTTAACCAGCTGTGTGACTGAGTTCGTTCACCGTAAAATGACTTGGTCAGACCAGAATCAACACTCCGCTCAGGTTTCTTCCAGTCCTAAAAGTCTAGTTCCAAAGGCAACCAAGTGTTAGCCCAGCCTTAATTATCTGCTAAACTTGAAAGTTAAATGATGGATGTGGGAGGCAGGAAAGAGGCTAAGCCCGCGGTGGACAGGAAGCCAAGGCAGACGGGAAGCAGACAGTGTGGTGGAGAGGAGGATTGGGCAGTCTGGTTCCAAGAGTTAGCAGCCAGTGGGTTGGCTGGTCAGCGATTCTGCCACGCTGACCTGGCCTCCTGAGTCTGAGGTGGGGCACACTCCTATGGCCGCAGCGGATGGGGGCTCTGCTCTTGTTATGTTACAGTCAGTTGGGGAAGGGAACATTGAACAAGCTTCAATAATCCATGAAATGACTCTAAGACTGTGGGCAGGTCACTCAATTTCTCTGAGCTCCAGTTTCCTTCTCTATAAGATGGGGATAAAAATGTGTAACTTGGGTCTGTTCTGAGAGTAAGTCTGCCAACGTGTTTTCTTTATTTACATTTGGTGGGGCTCACAGAGACTCAAGAGTACAACCAGGGTTGTTAAATGAGGACACTGGGGCAAAGGAATTAAGAGGACGAAGGAAGGGGAAATGGGTCTCTAAACTGCACGCTGATGGCCTTCAATAGTCGCTGGCACTGGGCTGCAGATTCAGATCTGAGCTCACAAGCTGCCAATGAAAGAAAGAAAGATCAGTCTGATATTATCACTTCTGGCTTAAAATTTGCCCTTGGTTTCCTATTGCTCTTCGAGCAAACCCTAGCTCCCCATCCTCACACACCCTCCTTCTCTCACCAGCCCTCACACCCTGTGCAGCCTGGAGAGGCCAGGCTTTCCCTTGCTGGGCCCACCATAAGTGGCCCTCTCTCTTTCTGGGCTCAGCTTGCCCATCTCTTCCTCTAGGAAGCTCCCCTGGGTAAGGCTGGCTTAGCCAGCACTGCTCTCTGGAAGCATCCTGTACTGCCCACCTTCTGTCTCCCCACGCCTGCCTGAGGCTGCTGGTCTAATATCTCCAGTCCCCAACTCTGCTCCATCCCTCCTGAGCGTGTGACAAAGGACAGGTGCTCAGTAAACAGTGGGAAATTGAGCAGCTTTCTCCATGCCGAGATCTGTCATACGGTGTCGGGCACACACTGCTCAGCCCCAGCCTGGCCAGTTGGGTCAAGTAAATAGTGATCTAAGAGAAGCCAGAAAGGCGGGACTCACCCAAGAAAACAGTTGGAGACAATCAGAGGTGAGTGGGAGTTTACTGGAGAGGGGAAGGGGAGGGGAACAGTGAGTTTAAGATGGTTTACAAAATAAAACTTGCAAAGGGCATATGAGGACGCCCGCTCTCTATGACCACTTCCTGTAAGGTACATCTGTAAAGGTAGTGAGATTTTTGGAAATAAATGCAAAGTCAATCCCAGAAAAGAGAAAGCAAAACATGGTATCAGCCTGCAGATCTGGGAGACATATTCTAGGACAAGGGTCACAAAGGTGAAGGGCCACTGATTAGACCTGAATTACCCACTGTGCAGACAGATAACAGGAGATCAGAAGTTCACTCGGTGAAAACTTTCAGATATGCTGAGCTGGGAAGATGGAATGGTGAACCTCATAGTAGATATTTCCAGAACCTTGAAAGATCATAGCAACCACTGGCACTGACAGTTCACAAAATTTCACAAATAGAGATTGCTTCAATGATCTCTCTCTCTCTCTCTCTCTCTCTCTCTCTCTCTCTCTCTCATTGGATGCTAAGCTACTTGAAAACAGTGGAAGCATGTTCTTTTCATGTGTCTTCTATAGCACTTGTTCCAGAATTTTCACATAATTCACTCACTTGGTGAATTAAATTACATTCAAAGGTTTAAAGATGCAGTTTTCAGGTGTAGGGAAGATATACTAAGCTATTAAGCTTATTAGATGTAGGGCCACATTTCAAATGCTGTTTTGTTTGTTTGCTTTGGTACTGGGGATTGATCCCAGGAGTACTTTACCATTGGGCTACAACCCCAGTCCTTTTTAAATTTAAATTTAATTTTTTAAAAATTATATTTTGAGACAGGATCTTGCTAAGTTTCCCAGCTGGCTTCAAATTTGGGATCCTCTTGCTTCAACCTCAGGACTTGATGGAATTTCAGGTGTGCACCACCATGGCCCACAAGTAGTTTAAAAAGAATTATTCACTTGTAAAAAATATTTACTGGCCTATGAAAAAGTAACCCAGAGCCTAAGGAGGAGTCCTCAAGGTTATAAGATGTGGAAAATGGTTGAGGCAAGGTTCCATTCATGTCCTGTGCACACTGTCACCCAACCTAGAATTTTGCTACTTATTCTAAATTCTTACTTCACTCAACCCCTCTTGGCCCCAGCTGAGTTGTGATGCTCTCTGTTTCCCCGAGGCTTTTGCTACAGGCCTTCCTCCAGACCTGGTCACCTCCACCCATCTCACAGTTATCAGGGTGAGCTTTGTAAACTGCATATCTATGTCGCTTTTTGTTAAAAGCCTTAATAAATATTGCTGGCTTGGTGGCACATGTCTGTAATCCCAGTGGCTTGGGAAACTGAGGCAGGATGATCTCAAGTTCAAAGATAGCCTCAACAACTTAGTGAGGCCCTAAACAACTTAGCAAGACCTGTCTCAAAATAAAACAACACGAAGAAAAAGGGCTAGGGATACGGTTCAGTGGTTAAGTGCCCTGGGTTCAATCTCCAGTACCAAAAAAAAAAAAAAAAGTATATATTCACCATCTGACCCCAGCCTTCCATGATCTGACCCAACCCCACCCACCCTTGGAGACTTGTCCCATTTCCCCCACTTTACAAGCGCTCTAGGCTCTGGCCAGGTCGCATTCCCAGCAGGTCCCTCAATATGCCAAGCACTTTCCCACATTCACACACATTTGTACCTGTAGTTTCCTTTGCATGGTGAGCTAGGACAGAAATTCAACTCAAACTCAAGCAAAAGGAGAATGTGCTGGTATGAATACCGGACATGCCTGACAGAGTTTGATATTGAATATCCCCCCAAGGCCCATGTGTTAAAGGCTTGGACACCAGGGAAAGTGGTGGAACCTTTAAAAGGTAGGAACTAGTGGGAGGTCCTTAGGTGATTGGAGACGTGCCCTTAAAGGGGGTTGTGGGACTCTGGTTCCTTCCTCTTTCTCTCTTTGGCTTCCTGAACATGAGGTGAATGGTTTTGCTCGGCCACATGTTCCTGCCATGATGTGCTGCCTTACCACAGATCCAAAGCAACACAGCAAAATGCAGCAAACTAACATGGACTAGGACCACCAAAGCCGTGAACTAAAACAAGCCCTTTCTTTACATAACTTGGTTATTTCAGCCTCAGTTATTTCAGGTATTTTGTTATAGAAACAGAAAATTGACCAATAATACCGAAATAAAAAGTAGTTCATGGGGCTGGTGTTGCGGCTCAGAGGTAGAGCGCTCGCCTTAGTATGCATCAGGTACTGGGTTCGATCCTCAGCACCACATAAAAATAAAATAAAGATATTGTGTCCACCTATAACTAAAAAATAAATATTTTTTTTAAAAAAGTAGCTCATACTGGATAAAACACATTCCAGCAAAAAAGAATGTCTGCTCTGTCCTAATTTTTTTGCTAAGTAGAATATTTACAATTATTTTTGAGAGTGGCAACCAATTGCTCTAACTTTGCATTCTGTCAGTGTCCTGGATTCAAAGGCAAGAAACAATTTCTGTCACCAGCCAAAGATTCTTAGGGAGAACTCTGGGGGCTGTGGCCAAGAAATAGAAGCATACGCTGATGGACACCTCGAAGTGAGGAAGAACAAGGCGCTGTTCACCTGCAACCATGTCCAGGGAAGGAATCAGGGGAAGCATCTCCCCAGAGGAAAAGATGCTGAGGGGGGTGGGGGGCAAGTCACTGTGTCTCCTTGCTTGTGAGTCTCCTTTAATTTTCTCTGGCCTTCGAGAAGAATCTTGTGCTTCTACCCAGTTTCTTCCAGAAGTCTCCATTAATTCCTCTCTTCCAGCATGAGCAATATAGCTGTGGTTTTTGGATGATGGGTCTTCTCATCCATCCAATGTAAGTTA